TGCCAGTGCCCCTCACTCCCGACCCGCAGACCACCGTACATCCCCCTTGGCCGTGTGTGTGTGTGTGTGTGTCCCTGCTGCCCCCTGCTGGAGAGAATGGGCCCTGCTCTGTCCAGTCTCTCCCCCATTCCCAGGAGGGCGGCAGCAGTGGGGGTGGGGGGCCCGTGGGGCCAATCCTCTGACACAGCTCCCTCTTGTCCCTGGCGGCTAGCGGCCTGCGGGTGCGGCTCGGGGAGTACAACCTGGCGGTGCGGGAGGGGCCGGAGCAGGACCGAATCGTGTCCGGCGCCATCCTGCATCCCGGCTTCAACCGCTTCACCCTGGACAACGACCTCATGCTGCTGAAGCTGGCGCAACCGATCAACATCGGCCCGACCGCCCGCCCCGTCAGGCTGCCCACGGCCTGCGCGGCCACCGGGACCACCTGCCTTATCTCGGGCTGGGGCACGGTCACCACTCCCCAAGGTAGGACCGGGGCCTGGCCGGGGAGGGACCGGGACCATCAATCGGGAGTGACTCCCTATATGTCTTTGGGGCTGACACCAGGGTGATTCAATCAGGAGTGACCCTGTGCAGGTCTCTGGGACTGATTCAATCCGGTGTCACTCAGGAGTGACCCCACTGTCACGGTATTTTCCCCAGCCACGTTCCCCAACCTCCTGCAGTGCGGAAACGTCCGGATCGTCTCGCCCCAGAGCTGTCAGGCTTCCTACCCCGGCCGGGTCACCAACAACATGGTGTGCGCGGGCGTCATGGGTGGAGGCATAGACTCCTGCCAGGTGAGGGGGCAGGGCCAGGGAACCTCGGGGGGGGGGGCTTAGCCCACTCCCCTGGGTCTCTGCCATGACCCTGGGAAGGGAGGTCTCAGGGTGGGAGTGGGGATCTGGAAGGGGATGGGGGATAGTTGGGGGGAGGGGCAGGCACTGCCCCATGGAGGTGGAGGGGAGTATGGACTCAGGGCGCATGGGCAGCATCTGTTGGGGGAAGGTCTGGCTCCACCCAATGGAGGGGGAAGGGACAGGGGGCACACACTGGGGGAGGGGTGGCCTGCCCCACAGTGTGGGGGCAGAGGCGGCCCAGATTCAGAGCCATGATTTGCCACTTGTCATGGCAAAAGGCAGGATGGGGGTGGACACCCAGTGGGGAAGGGGAGGAGCTGGGGGGGCTGGGTTTGCAGAGGGGATTGGAGCCCCACAGATCACACTAGCTCCCCTCTGGGCAGGGGACCATGGACTGGGTCTACCGGTGCCCCTCACTCCCAACCCCCTGCTAGCCCAGCCCTGGGCTCCCCACAAACCCTCCAGCTCTGCCAATGCCCCATTCCCAACCCACAGCTCCCCCCAATCCCTCCCCCTCACTCCTAACACACAGCCCCCACTAGCCCAGCCCTGGGCTCCCCCAGTCCAGTCAAGGGGGGCTATTATGACGCAAGGTGGTTCTCTCCACAGGGTGACTCCGGTGGGCCCCTGCTCTGCGCTGGGCAGCTCCAGGGCATCGTGTCCTGGGGGCTGCAAACCTGCGCCCAGCCCAACAGGCCCGGCGTCTACACCAAGGTCTGCAACTACGTAGCATGGATCCGCAGAGCCATCCAGATGAATTGAGGATGGTGCCGGGGGGCAGAATCCATAATAAAGCCCGAGCAGCAGAGTCTGTGTCTTGGTGTCTCATCTCCTGGGAGTGGTTGGACCCAGTTTCCACCACGCAGAACCTGGCCAACGGCTCCTGTTTCTTCCCCCCCTTCAACCAGGCACGTGAGCACTGCCCTTTGGGCCCCAACCAGTACCTAAAACACCAACATAGCAGGGAAGTTTCTCTCCCTTGGATCTGCAAGCAGCCGGTGCCCCTCACTCCCGACCCACAGCCCCCTGCTATCCCAGCCCCGGGATCCCCCCCAGCGCTGCCGGTGCCCCTCACTCCCGACCCGCAGCCTCCTGCTATCCCAGCCCTGAGATCCCCCCAGTGCTGCCGGTGCCCCTCACTCCCAACCCGCAGCCCCCTGCTATCCCAGCCCTGAGATTCCCACCCGTAAGGCTGGTGCCCCTCACTCCCGACCTGCAGCCCCCTGCTATCCCAGCCCTGAGATCCCCCAGTGCTGCCAATGCCCCTCACTCCCGACCCACAGCCCCCTGCTATCCCAGCCCTGAGATCCGCCCCAGCGCTGCCAATGCCCCTCACTCCCGACTCACAGCCCCCTGCTATCCCAGCCCTGAGATCCCCCCCAGTGCGTCTGGTGCCCCTCACTCCCGACCTGCAGCCCCCCGCTATCCCAGCCCAGGGATCCCCCCCAGCTCTGCCAGTGCCCCTCACTCCCGACCCGCAGACCACCGCTACACCAGCTGTTATATGTGTAAACACCCCTTCCAGGTTTGCAGGAACTACAGCTAGTGGGAAAATTATCCCTCCAAAGCTTTTTTTCAAACAAAGACTTCTCTAGCTAAGTCCTTACCTGGCTCCCATCACCTCTTTAATGCATTTAACCTCACCCCGCCCCTAGCTAGCTCCGGCCCCAAGGGTTAGGGTGGCAGCTCAGAAAATTCCGCTGAGATAATTGGTTTTTATTATCAAGTCGGTGGCATACAGGACATACATATTTCTTGAACAATTCGTAAGAAAAAGTGTAAATAAAAAAATTAAAAGCCAGGTCCAGCTTCCACCTGTCATGACCTTAAAGCCGAGCTTCGAACCTCGATCGCAGGCAAATACACACCAGTGACGAGAGCAGGGTGAGAGTCCCACGCGCATCTGCATCACAACCGAGCCCACAGGCAAAGTGAAATATTGGATCACAGACATAAGAGCTGGTTGGGAGAGATTTTTCCCTCCGGCATAAATTTTCAAACTTTCAATTCCCTCCCCTCCATCCAAAAGCCAAGATTTCCAAATTCTTCAAGCAATGAATTTCTGGGCGCAACGCTCATTTGAGCTCGCGCCAAACGATTCTGACCTTGGGGTTTTGTCCAATCTCACACACTTATTTCGAAAGAATATGTTGCTTCAAAACAACTAACGAAAATTTTCAAAACGAATAATGAAAAACGTGACCAAACCGGAGATTTTGACGTTTGCAAAACTGCCCTTGGTGTTTTTTTAATCTAAACATTGTGTCCAAAATCGCTACAATTTCGCAAAAAAATTCCATTTGGGGCAAACCGCATTTTCCCACTGAAAACCATTTAGCAGAAAATTTTCCAATCGGCTCTTAATTCAGATAGTCATCCAGTCTGACCTTCTGCATAGCGGATGCTGGAGAATGGCCAGCCCAGATCTGGGGGTCGAACTAGAGCCCCCTTAACTCTGCCCACAAATTTCTGCAAATATGTGACACCAAGCTAATGGGAAAGAACAGGAGTACTTGTGGCACCTTAGAGACTAACAAATTTGTTAGAGCATAAGCTAAGAAGTGGGTTGTAGCCCACGA